TGAGTATTTGTAAGCCTCTGTGTCAGTTATTTGGGAGCAGGCAGTTGGGACAGAAAAACTCTACCTACAACCCATAGTACCCCTTGCCCTGACTTCCTCATGGCTTCAGAGACCAGCATATGACCCAGCCCTGAGTTTTTGTTAGAACTAACGGAAAAGAGAAGCTCTTCCCCCTGATGTTGTGAGGACTTCGGGACCATGAGAACTCAGAGCTGTGAGGGCTCGGAAACGTGAAGGCTCCGGGCTATGAGGGCTCAGGGCTGTGAGGTTCTGTTGTTGGGTCTCCATGGTGCCCCTAACTTTGTTCCAATTCAAGACCCTCCAACATAGCTTCCCCCATTGGTTGTTTGATTCATCACCTTGGTATTTTCTGGTTCAGTTTCTTTTCCCAGAAAAATAATCTGATCCCCCTAGCTCAGCTCAGCTCACTAAGAACAACCACAGACTCCTGTTGGCCTCCTCTTCACCCCAATGGTCAATGTAGCTGTGTTCACTCAGCAAACCACACCTGACACAGAACAGATAGACCAGCAGAGGCTTCCCAGTCACATATACTCAGTGTCTAGGGGAGAAGGACACCTCTCTGCAGTCTGCAGAGGCCCATAGAGTGGCATCTAGGAGCAGAGCCATCAGCAAGGATTGAAGGTGGTGCAGGCAGGTATCACACAATGGAGAGAATGACCCCACCCAAGATGAACTTGGCCGGCTGAAGGATTTCCCAGGCAGCAAGGAAGGGAAACCCATGAAGTTAACGTTACGGAGTTTGAGAGCACCAGGAAAAGACTACCAGACTCAATTCAGATTATAATTAGCCAAATTTATTAAAACTACAGCAGGGCTGCAATCTCTAACCCAACTCAGAGACAAGCTACCCAGAGGCAGGTGAAGGAGGGGCTTTTAAAGGTGCAAGCCACAAGAAGTCCTACTATAAACAAGTTTCAGAAGAGCTGTTCTGCTTGGCCAAGATTAAGTGTTCAAGATGACCTCAAAACAGTCCTAGAATACCCGACTAAGCAGGTTACAGAAGCCAAAATGCAGCAGTTTGTCATAGCATAACAACAGATGGTCACATCACGGCTGCACTTTTCTGGATTGGGGTCAAGAAGTCAAGGTTGCATGGAATTTAGCTCCCATGAATTTGAGTCAGAGACAAAATGGCTACTAGGTACCAAGATCAATGCCTGGCATAAAATGGAGTGTGAAAGAGAGCATCTCCTCAAGCTGGATCACTGTTGCAACACAAATGCTGAGCTCAGGGCCAGGCCTGTCATGGGACTGCCTAGATGGCAGCTCGCTTACAAATAAAAAGGAACCTGTTGTCACAAGGGGCATCATTCCAGGCCCGGAGGGAGGATGACTTTATATTGGCACAATGTTCAATGTTCCCCGTATTGTTGGGTTCACCTGGAATCCAGAACCTAACAAGTGAGAAAACAAATACACTTTATTCACCTGGCAGAAGGCCTGCCTAGAATGTAGAGAGCCCTGCATTGGATCCACAGCACCACATGCCTTTATCCTAGCACTCATAACGTATAGGCAGGAGAATCAGAAGTTCAAGGTCAACCTAGGCTACATAGCAAGTTCCAAGCCAGCCGGAGATACGGGAGATAATGTCTTATAAAGTAGTTATTTTAGAGCCTGAAAGATGGCTCAGTGGGCTAGGGTACCTACAACCAAACCTGATGGCCTAAGTCTAATCCCTAGGACTCATATGACAGGAAAGAACAGACTATGACAAGTTGTCCTCTGACCTCAACACAGATGTGGCACATGTCCTCACACAAACACCATGTACATACACAATAAAATAAATAAATCATTTTGATGGGCTGCTTCAATCCCAGTGTTCATCCTTAGAGACAATACTACAAGGTGCTGCTCCCAACCCTAAGAAGATGAGTAGACCTTCCTCTCTGCTCCTGTTGCTGGGTCCCTGCCCCCTTCTCTCAAGGCTCTCACAATCCCATACCACATAGGCCTGGACTTGGGTCAGTCCCTCACCCAAGCTGGGCAGAACATCTTGCTGCCAAGACCACAGGACATACAGGGTCCTAACTGGCCCCAGGTACCACCCTGTGAGCAGCAGCAGCAGTTAGCTGGGTGTCCACCTCAGCTGCCACTGTGCTAGAAAAAGGCAGTGCACAGCCC